GAATGCCTGACTCTTAGCAGTTTTCATGACAACATGATTTCAAAGATGGTGTGTGCGTTATTTAGAGATGCATTCCTTTGCTGAAATAGTCTGTCTGGGTCCTGCCAGAGCTTCTGCTATGATACCAAAGTCCCACTGTGTGGATTTAGAGACAATGGACAGCTCATGAGTCGTGCTAAGCCATAAGCTGAGCCAAAGGTGCAGGTATTAATGCTGAGTCACTGCTATGCTTTGCAGATTTAATACTTTATCCTTCCTGTCCACATATTCTAGCCAGTCAGCTAGGCTTGGAGATAGTCAAGCAGAGCTGGGCACCAGAGCCGAAATGATGGAAACAGTATCTCTTTCCCAAATGCCCTGCTTCACTCCCACACCTCAGCAAGCCTCGGTGTCCACCTGTTCCGATGATTCATATGGGAACAAGGCGATGTCATCAGGCCAAATCTGGGAGGATGGAATGCTGCCCTTCCCAGCTGCGCTGCATCAAGCATATTCTTGCGAAATCAGGAAGAGAGAAACTCGCTTGTGAATTTGCCTTTCCTACTTTCTGTCAACAAAGGCAGGTGTCCTGGTCATACACTACTCGGTGCCTAGGACAGACAAGGTGAGCTCACAGATGGGTATCACGTGGACTGGCCACCGTGACGCAGGCAGTAGGGTGCCGCTGCGTGATACTGAGCCAGTGAGAAGGCCTTCGGTTCAGCTCCCAGATGGACCTGAACACGCCAGGTATGACAAGACCATTTTGGGAGTCCGTGTCTGCCAATCTCTGTCTGTTTCTCTTATGAAAGAAATAAATAAACATAAAGGAAAAAAAATTACAACTGGGCCAGCTGGTGACACGGTGGTTACGGTGGCTGGATTCCACAAGGCAGATTACGCGCTTCAAGCCTCAGGCCTGGAGGCTTGAGAAACACACCAGGTGCACGTGCGGGCATGACCAACGTCCCAAGAGAAGAACGAAGGGGAAGGGAATCGCGCTGTGGCCTTTCCCTCTAGGGGGTGATTTCTCACTTTCTCTCTCCTCTCTGGTGAGTGCCCGTACCTTATCATAAACTAAAAGCATGACAAGACAAAAGTAAATAAACTAGAACGAAAGTTATTATGGTGGGTTTGATGAGCCAGAGGCACCTAGCCTTCCACATTTCAGGTGGGCCGTCGGGGACAGGCTCCAGCAGCGCTGGCATCTGACTGCAGCGCTGAGCTGGTAGAGGGATGACTGGAGGTGAGGAAAGAGAAGAGAGGCTAGCTTCGGCCCAGCGGAATGCCCTAAGTTAATGGGGAAGAGTGTTATGTTTGTCTTACGTATTTCTTTTATTCTTCCACAGCCCGGATGCCAGCCTGTGTCTTTTGGTGGAGCCGGATTCTCAATAATAAGGAAAACCAATCTTTAGAAGACTACTAAGAGGTTACAGAGTAATTTACATTTAAATAGGTAATTACTGAACAAAATCGAAATATAAATCTAAAGGAATGATTGTAAAGGTGGAATTTTAGACAACATGACAGGCCGAGGGGCCTCCTCAGCATCTACCCAATCTCATCACTTAACAGCAGTGTGTTCTAAGGGAGCGCCCAGCCCTCTGGCAGTGTTAGAACTACAGGTGACAGGTGGATACGGGATTAGCAAACACTGAATCACAGAACGAGAAAAGTATTCCTTTATGAACCCTCTTTCATGTAGTCAAGGAGAACACCTCCGTACGGGCTCACAGGTCTCTAACACCTCTCTAACAGTGGCTAGTCTCTACTCTGGGCAGAGAGAGAAGGCTTATGACAAGCAGGCTTATGGCATATACATACATGTGGCTATCAAAATCAAGCTTATTTTTTAACCATAAATAAATTCATAATTGTCGTTACAGGAACGAAGCATGTAAACTCCAACTTTCAAATGCAATGTGACAGTCACTCATGGCAAAGGGACTTCTAGGAGAGGGCTAAAAAGTTTCCCTAAAAAAATATATTAGATAAAAAAGACTAGGGTCTGGGCCAGCAGGTGGCATGGTGGTTAAAGTGTTGGACTCCCCCATGGCCAAGTGCAGTTTGAGTCCTGGACCTGGCAACTTGCTTTCTCTCTCTCTCTCTCTCTCGTGAACACACATGCCCTGTGGAAAGTGAAAATAATAATGCCAAATAAAATTAAATAAATTATTACTAGGGGTATTTTAAAGAAAAATGTTAAATAAATTTGGCATAGGTGCTACGGGCATATAACCGATATTCTGAGGGCAGATGTGGATAACCAAAGTGGATATCCAGAGCCTGTTGGTCAGGCGCTTGACTTTTGGCTTTACCGACCCAGAAGTAGAATGTAAGAGTGACAGTGAGTAGGAAAAGCAGGCTCTGAGCAGTGACTGCCACAGGCCCAGAGGCCGGGCATGGAAACATGACCACGCTGCGTTTCCCAGGCAAAGGCAGGAAAGAGACCAGTGACCCACTGTCCAGGGTCTGTTCCTTTGTACAGTGGATCAAAAATAATCAGAAAAAGGTGACAAGCACATGCATACATGTGGACATCAACATCAAACTTAGTTTAACCATAAATAAAATAATTGTAGTCACCGGAACGAAGCATGTAAACCCCAACTTGCAAACGCAATGCGGCATTTTGTTCCATTTTCATGATCTGTTTATGCTTCATTTCCTGCTCAATGCCACTGACGAGTCTGTAGAACTGATAACACACCAAGCCATATAACTTTCTTTTTCAAAAGCAAGGTTACACGCAATGTGTTTAAAACTGTGTGTAAAGAAATGTGAAACTGCAATTTTTTTTCAGGGAAGACGTCTTGACTGTCCTCTGTTTTGTCAGAATGTTTATACCCAATTAGAAAAAAAAATCATACTTAAAGCTTTAAATAGGCAAGATTCATGCTGTCAAAATGCCCATATTTTCATGAAAACAGGCACCCTTAGGCAGGAAAAACAAAATTGCTTTTAATGACAGAACTTTTGAAATTGTACTTGCAAAGGGCAGGAATAAGCGATAAAGCTAATTAGTCACAAACAAAATAAAACGGATGTTGTAGGAGCCAGACAGTGTCACAGTAACACTGCGATTCTGGACCCATACGGGACGGTCTTAGGTTCACAACTTGGTCTCCTTGAATGTGGGGCGTAGGGGAGCCCAGTGAGGCATGCAGGCGCTCAGGAGCCCATGACCCAGGCTGGCCAAAGCTGGATGCGGGGCACAGATTGAGGATCCTGCCTTAGGGACAGATGTTTCCCTCACTTTGGTGGGAGAAAAGAAAGAAACTTTCTAAAAATGCCTAGTGCAGGGCCAGCAGGTGGCCTGGAGGTTAAGGGGCTGCACTCCCAAATGGCCTACAACAGTCTGAGACCCAGACCTGGTGGCTTGAAAAGCACACTGCACACATACATGCATGCCCAAAATCCCGCGAGGAGAATGGAGAAAGGACTGCAGCAAGGCCCTCCACCCCCCAGGGGGCGGGGAGATGTTTTCTCTCTTCCCCTCTCTCTTTCTCCTGTGAGTGCATAGATACAATAGCAAAAAACCTAAAAAAAAAAAAAAAAGAATGGCGTGGTTCCTTACTTGTTAATGTATAACTCATTAACAGACCGAGCTTGGCTAGCAGGAATCATTTAAAGGTCCATTCTTTGCGGAAATGGTGTCAGGTGACTTTGCAACTCCTAGCCTGGAAGTGCCTCTGAAACCTTCCAGGTCTAAGCAGTCACACCCTCAGAAATGAAGGACGGCACAGTGGGGTGTGCGAGGGTTAGAAATCTCACCGTCTTGGGCGTGGTGGCGCCCGCCCTATGGCAGAAATCTCACCGTCTTTGGTAGTCCAGCTACCAAACTCCACTGAGTTTCAACCAAAAACCCAGCTTTGATGGTTTCTGGTTGAAACTATATAATAAAACTTATGAAACTAACCTCATTAATTAATCTTTCCTATTTCCAACAAGGATCTACAGGCTGTATTTAATGTAGAAACAACCAGTTGAAAAGGAAACATTTAAAAATATTAGGTCAAACAGGTTAGTTGGCATGATGTGAGTATCAAAGAAATACAGCTATAAATCTCAGTGACATTATTTTAAAAGGAAGAAGCCTAAAAAGTTGTCAAACCAGTTTGTGTGTTGATAAGAGTACATTTAAATTACTTATGGGTCGGTGAGAGTCTGTCTTCTCGCTCACAGGGGAAACCACACGCTGCTAGCACCTTGGCAGGACCAACGAAGTGCCTAGCAGGATTTGTAAGACCCAGTGCAGAGTGGAAATGTGGGAGCCCCTTGCTGAAAACATTACTAAGAATTTCAAGATGAGGGGCAGCAAGTGGCGTGGAGGTGAAGGCACGAGACTCCCACCTGGTTGACTACACAGTTTGAATCCTGGACCTGGTGGTTTGAAAAATCATGCCAGGCACATGTGCGTGTGTGCCTAAAATCCCGATAGGAGAATGGAGGAGAAAGGATTGTGGCATGGCCATCCCCATGAGGGAGGGGAGCTGATTTCTTACATTCCTTCTTTCTGTTTCTCTCCAGCAAACACACATGCACCCTGTGGCAAAAACCTAAGGAAAAAAATGTAAAACTTAAAAAAAAAAAATGGATTTCAAGATGGTAGTATTGATTTAATACAAAGTATTAAATCCAGCAATGGGTCCTTCAGAGCACTAGGTTCTGGATGATTCCGTCCAGGAAGCTGCTCTTAGCACCCCCAAGACATAGTTACACTTTCTGGCTCCTAAGAATGTTGTTTCCAAAGTAGTGTCGGAGTTGTCCACAGTCTATGTTCAAATGAACCAGGACCCTCAGATGCCCTGAACAATATTCCCCTTAAGAGATTCAAAGATTGATATAAATCTGGTATTTCCTCTTTCTCTCCATTTTTTTTTCCCCAAGCCTGAATAAAGACTTTCAAAATATTTCAGTTTCCTGCTGCAGAGCAAGCCAAGGAATGGCTTGGTTGTTAACAGGCAGTTCAGTACGTTGTAAAGGAAGAAGTTAACAATCGCCTGAAAGTCAAGGCCTGTAGCCCACCACCGTCTGGCTGACCTTGCCACAGTGGTGTCTTTCTTTCCTTATTAATGTGTCTTTCAACACTCAAACAGGATGTCAGCTATGAGGGAAAGTTGCTGCCCTTTTCCTACCATGAACCCCAGAGTCATTTCCACGCCACAGGAATCCCTGTTACTTTCCAGTGAAGGGCTGTGCATTGTGGCTTTGCCTCAAAAGGAAGTAGATGCACAATACCTTAAAAGCAAACACACACACACACACACACACAGAACCAGAAAAAGAAGTCACTCCACAAATGCGCAAATGCCACCTCTGAATTCTCATCCCTCATGTCTCCATTTCTAAGCCCCAAATCATTCTCTTTACATTTAACAACTCTTTCTGGCAGTGAAATAGGAAGAGGTGAGGATTTCCTCCAAATCAGGAGGACATTAACAATTAAGTGTTAATGCGAACACCGTTAAAGGTGATGCAATTATAACTGTATTCCACAAAGGGCAATAGGAAATAATTACTCTGATTCTCAAGTGATAGTTCCAAGACAATGAGATTCTCCATCTAAACTCCATTAGAAGGGGATCTGAAACTCAGACGCACACCTACGGCTGCAGGAGCTGCTCCTTACCGCAACAATAACCGTGTCCGTGCCACGCCAGGCTTCTCTTGCCATCTGCCTTGACTCCTGGAAGAGAACGCAGCTACAGTGGGGTCCTGGGACCACTAACTCACTGCTCCCGGAGCTGCCTGCCACACGGTGCTCAGATCCTGAAAAGGGCTGATCTGAGTAGCCCGAAGTGCCATCTTAGCCTCCAAGTTGGACCAAAAGCAAAAGACACCCCAGCATCATTGCATGGCTTCTGAGGATGGTGAAGTCTATCCAAGGAAACAACTAACCTCCAGTTAGCATATGCATGGCAGCACGGAGACTTGACCCGAGTGGGAGAACAGCAGCTGCACCCTTAATGCCTATCTCAGCCTTAGTTGATGAAAATTGGAGGAGGTGATAGAACCAGTCCATTGCTAATGTCTCCTAATGACGCAGAGATGAAAATTTAAAATGGGCCTCTACATACTATGTTAACTCCCGATTTTAGCAGTCCCTCAACAATCCATAAACCCTTCTCCCCTTTTATTTGCCAAAGATTGACACTGCTAATCAGGGCTAAGATGAACTTAAATAATGAACTACGTGTACCAATATGTTAATCCACTGGCAAAGCACTGAGAGGGCACGGCCACGTTGCGCTGGGATGCTAGAGCGAGGATTGCGGGTCATCCTAACATCTTCTACCAAAAGCTGCTCGAAGGATGTATCTGCTAAGAAGATCACCCGTAAACAGTAACTGCTACGGTTTCAATGAATCCACACAAAAGTTCCTGTGTTGGACTTTGGCTGTATTGTGAAGGTACTGAGATAAAATTTAATTCTGCTAGAAGACTAAGAGGTGGAGCCTTTGGAGGGTGATTATGATGAGGGCCCCATGAATGGCTAGGCATGGTCTATAAGAAGTCACAAGGACACAGAGGCACGCGCTCCTGCTCTTTTCAGTGCTGTGATGTATCAAGAAGACCCTCACAGACATGGCCTCTGGACCTTGGAGCTTCAAACCACGAGCTGAATAAACCTCTGCTTTTATAAACTACCCAGACATCAGTATTTCCATTATTACCGACGGAACAGACTAGAACAGAATCCAATCAAAATAGAATTGAAAAAAATCAAAGAAATCGCCACTTCTCACTCTATGTATAGGGACTAATAAAAGAATTGATATTATGTGTATGTATTAGTGGTTCTTATATATAATTGAAGATTTTTGTATTTATTCTTTCAACATTGATAACTGGCATCTGTGTCAGAATATTTTATAAATAATCACTATATGATAGATAGCCTTCAAGAACATCTAAATAAATAACCCTGAGTCTGGACTGACATACACAAGTTCTACAAAGTGTGGAAAAAATTATAGCCAATCACAGAAAACACATACATCTATGTACAAAGCCCCCCCACCACACGCACCATATCTAATATGACTGAAAACAAGAAACACAAAAATAAACATGGATGTTGGAAGAAATCAAAATAGACACAGTCTTTACAATGTTTGGGGACTAGTTTCATCTGCAGGAATTGGACGACTTGCAGATTTCACGGCTAGTCTATCCAGTACACTCAAACACCTGTCTTACTATATGTTTTAGCGTGATCTCACCATGGAGTCATTCCTTTTTGAAAATTTTATTTTCAAGGTTTAAGCTACAATGACTAGAGGATCATGTTTCTTTCAGCCACGACAGGTAATAAGGTTCTCAGCACCAGAAATGATAAAAATGGTAACATTTCGGATGTTAAAAACGCTAGAAGTTAGTAAAGATCTCCTGAGATTTCTTCTTAGAATTTAAAGGAGAACTTGAGACAATTCTGGCTTTCCTGGCTGTCCATTAGCAACCATCACTCCACAGCTTTCATATTAAAAAGCATGGGCACTTGAAGATGTTAGTCCTTCATAAACTTTGCCCAAAGGACATTAGCGAGAGGCATGCATCAGGTGACAGGGTAGTGCCTCCCAGGACAGTGGGGCTTGTCAGACCATGCAACAGGATCCCAAGGACCTGTCTCAATCAAGTTAATTAGAGACATCTGCGGCACAGAGATCAAGCCAGGCAAGCCCTGCCGCTTATTTGCACCAAAAAGGTACAACTTCTGTGGGAGGTAAGAGAGCTAGAATGACAAACAGATAGCAATCAGTAACGTGAGCTGGCTGGACATCTGAGCGCACTCACCACTGAAATAAAGCTGGGAGGACCAAGGGATGCAAATGCTGAGCTGATGAAAAGGCTCCAGGAGATCTGAACAAACCTTTGATATTCTTAGCCCTACAAGAATCTCAATGCTGTAAATGGTGCTCCTGCCCCCCTCATCCCAGCACCTGCTTGAACCCTTCATTCACCTATGCATTACCTCCAGGGCTTTCTCTCACTCCTTCCAGGGACCCTGACCTCTGTTTTCTGCAAACAACTCTGCCCTCGTCCAAGATGTTGTTACTGATGGAGATCTAGTGTTGGAAGTTGTAGCCTTTGTAGAGCCGACACTGTTTGAAACTTTGCCTCTGGAAAGTATAACCTTTAAACAACTCAAATCTTGGCTCTTTGGCCAGCCCCATAACACAGTGGTAAAGCACAGTACCTAGGTAACTGGATCCCTCATGACTGAAGGTGGTTCGAGTTCTAGCCCCCAGTGGCTTGAAAATTACGCTGGATTCATGTGCATGTGCGCCCCAAATCCTGATGGAGTGGAGAAACAGAGGAAAGAGGACTGTGGTGTTGTCTCTCTATTGAGTGTCTGTACACTTTGGGAAAAAAAAAGAAAAAGCAGGACTAGCCAGTGCAGTGGAGTTAGATGGCTGGATTCTCTACATGGCTGACGGCACAGTTCGAGTTCTGGAATCGGCAGATTGGAAAACACACTGGGTGCATACATGTGCGTAACCAAAATCCTGAGAGGAGGACGGATTCATGGAGTAGGAATCAGTGCTGCAGATGTCTCTAATTAACTTGATTGAGACAGGTCCTTGGGATCCTATTCATGGTCCCACCACTGCCATGAGCAAATTTGCGCCCTACAGCAAATTAGAAAAATAGTAATAGAAAAAAACTTTGGTACTAGAAAACCACAGCATTCCCCATTGCCAGGCCTGGTTTTTAGCAGTCTGGTTCTATTGATGATAGGGAGTCTTTAAAGTACTTATTTATTCATTCTCCTTGTTGATTATCATTCTATTTTTTTAATCGCCAGAGGGTGCATGTACTTCCTTGGGGGTGGGAAGACAAAGAGATAGGAGGGATACCCTCTAATAGGGGTCATGCCACAATCCCCTCTCCTCCATTGGTCCATCCTATCAGGATTTTGAGCACACAGACACACACACACACACACACACACACACACACAGACACACACAGTGTTTTTAAGCCAGAGCAAGAATTCAAACCATGTGGGATCTGACTCCCTTAACCACTAGGCTATGGGGCCAGCCTTATATCGTTCTTAAATGTCCTAAAAAAATGATAGCAGGCAGCGTCCTGTCGCGTCCAGTCATTCGGCTTTCATACATACAAGAGGAGGTGTCCTCACTGATGACAAATAGGCTGTCTTCTCTAAATTATTACCAAAGGTCCTGTCATGTCCATGTTAACTCCAGCTCATGAGGGAGGCTGAAAGAAGGATGCCCGAAGTCAGAAACTGTGGCTGTGATAGATTCAATTCTCAAAGCAAAATGGATCTGAAAAGACCGTCAGCCCAACACTAGACAGGTTGGTGTGAAATGAAATGTCACACCACGACAGATTCTTCAGGCTCTGGGACATGTTTGATTCAATGCTCTAATTCATTAACAATTGGATTTTCACTGGACATCAACATCCACACTGGAAACACCACTGTCATGGTTTAGATAGAGCTGTCCACCGAAGAGAGACTGTGAACTGTTGGCCCAAGAGCCCATTTCAGGCCTATGTGCGTACATTTTAGCCAGCACAGTGCTTCAGAGTCAGCCGAGCCATATTTAGAAATCTAGAGATTTTAGGTGAAATTCGGATTTCTACCTTCTCTTGAAGAATTAGATCTGGTGTCATCACTCTCCATTTTTCTTACCTAGAACTACTCTGCTGAAACAGATGAGGAGTCACCCCTCTGGCAGCGCCTTTACTCACGTGATCTGTACGCCAGGCCTGACTTTCTTCCTGGGTATGCGCCCAGCTGCATCAGGCACTGAAGTCTGCATCGCCTGCCAAAGAACCTCTGTCTTTGTCACTTCTCAGAATTTGCCATGTAATCGATAATATTTTACAGATTGTCTTCCACTTCACGAAACAGTCATCAGCACAGAACAGCCAGAATAGAGTTCTCGAGGATTTCAGACTGTCTGAATTCTAATTTTGTATGTAAAACCTTCCCAGAGGATCAGAAACCCTTGTTGAGCTTTCCTCCAAGCATGACTAACACAATACGGGGAGGTGTTGTCTCGCAACCATGCACCTCTGCATTGGTGACGAAGAAGGATTCCGCTACAGTCCACTCCCTGCAGCATCCTGGGGTGGTTTTAAGCCACCGGAGAGCCTATCTCCAGGCCACCAACTTTGCCAGAAGATGCCGGGCATGTTGGAATCAAATGCTGGCTAAGTGAGGAAATCCCTCAATCTTGTTAAATCTGTTTTGGAATGAAAATCACTGATATGACCACCATGTTCCAGACTAATGCTGGCTGACCTGCCAGAGACCAGAAGCAAGGCAAGCCATGAAGGTCCAAGATGCAGATGCATGACTGTCCGAGGACATCCTCAGGAAAGGGGCACACAAGGGTGACTTGGAACTGTCCGGGCTCCTACCGTAGGGGCTCTCAAGTTCACATGGACATGGCCGTCTATCAGAACGGTTCCTGTCTCTCTGTTAAGATAGTGCGTGTGCAATGCGAAGTCACTGCCTGCTTCCACACTGCGACCATCCTTACTAAATAAACTTCTGAGCTAAGAGGTTTACTTGACCAGGCCATGACTGCTCCTAAGCTGTTAAAGGAGGGCTCCTCGAGTTACTACCTGTGGCATTCATAACACACGCCTGTTGAACAAAGGTGTCACAGGAGCGCCGTGAATAAACAATCCTTTTCTGCCCCTGTAAGTTATACGGTATTAATGTTAATAATTAATTTGTCTTTGTGGATTAACACACACACACGAGCTTTTCAAACAGGTACGGGTGCAACTTCGGCCTATCTCGGCCTACTGCGTGAGGCGGGGATCACTGCACACACTTCACACTTCCCCAGCTATCAGTCTCCTGACCTCAGCCAGCTAAGTGTGAGACAGCAGATGGCTTGCAGCGCTTAGTGATGCCCTGTGAAGATGTAGTTCGGGACACCGTGTAAGGGTTTTGGTGGAGGATGGCGGTTTACGTGAACTTTCCGAGAAACGCCAGGGAAACAAAATGCCACTGCTGTCCCCGTCAAAGGATCTGGTGAGGATCCTGGGAAAAAAATGTCAAGAGATTCTAAAGCTTTCTGCGGCAGGCACAGTATTTTCAAAGTGCTTCAGAAGCTATTTTAATCTGCTGCATTGCTAAAAGGGGAGAGAGCCTGAAAAGCCAGTATAATTTTGAGGGCTGTTCAAGGACTCTGTCAGTAATACGACTAGACCCCTGGGTAAGACTTAGACATCTTAAAACAGGTTTGTCTAGGGCATCCGCAATCTGATTGAACAGCTCTTGTGAGGATAGCCCGTTTATACGCCACCCCAAAGTGAGGGCCCTTTGGATTATTCTAGCAGGGATTATTCCTTCAGAGTCTCCGCTACCCAGGCCGAAGTGTTTCCGCAGCGATGGGATGCTGTTAATTAATATCACCACTTCCCAGATCCTTTTAAAATGTCTAATGTCAAAATATTTTACAAGAGTGAATTTCAAACTGTGTTCGTGTTTTGCGCAGCACGGCACCCGCTTAAAGTGGTACAGTTTGAAAATCAATAAAACATGAGATGGAAGGGACCAGGGTGGCATAAGAGTTTTTAAAGAACTACACTCTTGAGAGCAAAACAGATAACATAAAACTTGGGATGGAAATAAGTAAACCTTTACAAGTCTGTATTTTCATAACTCCCTCACACAGCAGAGATCCAGGGCTGTTTTACTGATAAACAAAGCCATCAACTGGCTTGTTTCAAGTTCCAA